CTGATAGCAAGGTGCTCATTAAGGTGTTTAATCTTGGGTTAATGGTCTCCGTATCGCTGGGCACACAGCACATGGAGAGGGGTGGGCATGCTGCGGGGGTCACCTTCCCCATGGGCTGTTTGCATCCCACTTAACTAATTGGTTTTGCAGATAACAGAAGGCCAGGACGTGCAGGCAGCCCTCAGACCCATGTCCCCACACTGAGGGGCCCCCTTCCCCATTCCGACCTGGGACAGACCCTCTGTAGTTGGGAGGGGGGGGGGAGTTTGCACAAAGCTGGGGTCCCAGTGCTGCTTGTGCTTCAGGTACCCAAATGGAAAGCGATTCCAAAATTTGGTGCCCACAGTCTGGTGGGGATGAAGGATTTGGGGTGGTAAAGGATGGGGGCAGAGCGGGAGCACCTTGCTGTCCCCACGCCCCTGGTGACGTGTGGAAGTTGGGTGTTGTTTGCCATGGGTGCCAGCACCTGGGTGTCACCGGGGTACCTTGGCCGGGTGCCCACAGGTGGGGACGGCTCCCAGCCTGCCCTTGGCCCCACAGGTGGGGAGGACTGGGGTTATTTAAGCCACGGGGCATTTCTCCTTGCAACCCTGCATCCTTGGCACAATGCAATTCCTGGTGCTCCTGTGTGTGGTCCTTGCTCTCTCCGACGGCATCACCAGGTGAGTCCCTGCAGCATCGCTCTGCACTGATACCAGCACTGCTGGATGCTGCTGCAAGCTCTGTTTTTCTTTTTCCAGGCTGCCCTTGGAGAGGGGGAAGAAGCTGAGAGAGATCCTCCGGGAGAAGGGCTTGCTGCACCGCTTCCTCCAGCATCACCACTACGACGTCGGCACCAAATTCCCGCATGCTTTTCCTGATGTTCTCACTGTGGTCACCGAGCCCCTGCTGAACACCCTGGACGTGAGTGCTGGCTTTGACCCACGGCGGGGAAGCCTGGGGTGGTTTATGGCATGCTCATCCCTGTGACTGTGCCATGCGTGGACCAAATCCTGAAGGGTTTCTCCCAAAAGTTGATATCTTTCACCTCTTCCCATCCAGCAGCTGTGCTGCAAGCTGAGTGTTCCCATGCATGCACAGAAGGCTGTGAGCCTGGGGCAGATCCATGGCCAATTATGCCCTAAAAGCATCTCTTGATCCTGTCTCATAGATGGAATACTATGGGACCATCTCCATTGGCACCCCACCGCAGGACTTCACTGTGGTCTTCGACACCGGCTCCTCCAACCTCTGGGTTCCCTCTGTCTCCTGCACCAGCCCAGCTTGCCGTAAGTAACAGTGGGCAGGACTCCCTATTTTGGCAAGGCAACACGTCCTGGGCTTACAGCTGCAGGATCAACCCAGATTTTGGGGTGACGCTGCTCACAGATTGGAGGGGAGCAGAGTGAGGCTCTGGGTCCCGTTGGATCTGCACAACATGCTGACGGGATGAGTGTTTGGGGTGTAGGAGCTGCTGCTCCATGGGGTTCTACTCCATGGGGCTGTGTGTGTTGCCTCAGTTTCCCTATCTACCTCAAAGGAGTGATGGGTTATCCTACAGATCCCTGGCATTAGGATGCAGCAGGGATGTACAGCAAATGTTCACAGCTAAATTGTTCCTGCAGCAGGGTAATAAATGGCAGGTCTAAACAGCAATTCAGCAGGGTTCCGACTCCCACGCTATCCTTATGGCTCAGCCTAGCTGAAAATCTTCATTTTTGGTTTCCTACTTACCTTCTAGAAAGCCATCAGATGTTTAACCCATCGCAGTCCTCCACCTACAAAAGCACGGGGCAGAACCTGTCCATTCACTATGGCACTGGCGACATGGAGGGCACCGTGGGCTGCGACACCGTCACTGTAAGTGTCACGATGGCATCTCAGAGGCTTCTTCTGTGCCTTCTCCACCCAATTCCCACCTGCGTTGCCATGTCCCAGAGCTAACAGTGCTGTCCCCATCCCTAGGTTGCATCACTGATGGACACCAACCAGCTCTTTGGCTTGAGTACCTCCGAGCCTGGCCAATTCTTTGTCCATGTCAAATTTGATGGGATCTTGGGCTTGGGCTACCCAAGTTTAGCTGCTGATGGAATCACTCCAGTCTTTGATAACATGGTGAATGAGAGCTTGCTGGAGCAGAACCTCTTCTCAGTCTATCTATCCCGGTAAGAAGCGTCAGTCCTGAGGGCTGGGGGAGGCAGCGAGTGGGTTTGGTTCAGATCATTGCACTTGCTGGGCATCCCAGCTCCTCCACTGCCACTGATGCTACATGGTGCTGTCTGTGTGTCGTGATGGATAGGGACAGGGGAGCACGCTGCTGTTGTGCCATGGCCCTGCTGGTGCTCAGCAATGAGAAAGTGATCATGGTGTCACAGACAGCATCTGATCCACGGCACTCACAGCCCCTTGTTTTAAGATGACAGCCCTGGCAAACCCTTTGGTGCTTTTCTTTCATGTGTCATCCAGCGAGACAATGGGGAGCATGGTCATCTTTGGGGGAATTGATGATTCCTATTTCACTGGCTCCATCAACTGGATTCCTGTCTCTTACCAAGGTTACTGGCAGATCTCCATGGACAGGTAACGAAATGACTGCTGATGTATGTTCATTTCTAACCGTTGTTTCTCGAGAGACCCATGAACCTCGTAGGCTTTCTGCTGGCGTAACACAACACGGTGCAGGAGGCCAAGGGACCAAACCCCACTGTGATTTGGTGATTCCCTGATGTGGGGATGCTTCTCCTCCACTGCTTCTTCTCTTGCACTAAGCCCGTTCCCTTGGGGCTGTGTTTGAAAGCATCACCAGGATGCAAGGCCTTGCCTTTTCTTCCTTCCCTCCTGCCAGCATCATCGTGAACAAGCAGGAGATTGCATGCAGCAGTGGCTGCCAAGCCATCATTGACACTGGCACATCCCTTGTGGCTGGGCCGGCCTCAGACATTGATGACATCCAAAGTGCAGTCGGGGCCAATCAGAACTCGTATGGAGAGGTAAGAATGTCCACATCCTCCTCTGTTAGTGCTCCATGCAGCCTGGCACACACCTGGCTTCATGCCTGCTTCCACACACCATATCTGCAGCAAACCATCCCTGCTGCCCCAGTCCTCCACATGACTCTCCCAGTCTCCAGTTTACACCAACCAAATCAAATCCCCCCCCATTTTGCCCCATCAACGTGTTGCCTCTTACCTCAGAGCCTCTTTGCTCTGCCCTCTGCAGTACAGCGTGAACTGCAGCCGTGTCCTTGCCATGCCTGATGTTGTCTTTGTCATCGGTGGCATTCAGTATCCCGTGCCTGCCTTGGCTTACACCGAGCAGGTAAGGAGAAACCATGGCAACAAAGCCAGTCTCCATGTCCTTTTACTTTCTCCAGTGGCTCTCACAGCTTTGGCTTCTCCATGAGAGTTGGTCATGAGCCTGTAGAGCAACCCAACAAAAAAGCTGCTAACCCACCTTTTCCCCATTTGCCTCCTCTGGCTCAAATGCAGAATGACCAAGGAACCTGCATGAGCAGCTTCCAGAACAGCTCTGCAGACCTCTGGATCTTGGGAGATGTCTTCATCAGAGTGTACTACAGCATCTTTGACCGGGCCAACAACCGTGTCGGACTGGCCAAGGCTGTTTAGATCTACTGAGATGACAGCAACCAGACCATGACTGTGTTTTTCAGTGCAGCAAGAGGTCTCGTGTAAGGTGTCCTTGCTTGCATGCAAATAAAGTGTTGATGACGTGGAGTTGGTGGCTGCACATTTATTGGTCATAAAAGGGCAGGATTTAGGGAGGAGGTGTTGTATATTTGCTGCTTCGTGGCAGTGGCAGAATTTTGGGACAACTGAACAAGGCTGGGGCTGCTGGGAGCTGAGGCTTTGTACTGGGAATGTGTCAGAGAAGCAATACTGGAAGATCTCAGTTTCCATCCGGGGAAAGTGAATTCCCCACCCCAGACCCACAGACAGCAGACCCCCATTGCAAACCATCTGCACACAGCTGTGCATGTGTAGAGAGGAAGTCTTGCTTCAACTTCTACAACTTAGGGCACTCCATTGCCAATTGCTCTACCACTGTTATGAGCCCAGTGCAGCAGGGCTCAGCAGCCCTGGTGGGACCAAGACCCCAGGGATCATCAAGCACGAATGAGAGTGGGGAGCACGCACACACTGGGACTGCTGTCGTACTTTTATGTCTGAGAAATGTCTGTCCTGGAGTGCCATCTCGTGGCTGTGGTTCCAAAAATGTATTTCTGTGCATAGGGGAAGGTTGGAAATAAGCGTTGCCAAAAGGATGCCCCGAGGCTTGCTAGGAAATTTTGCATGGAAGGAAGGAGGAGATGGTCCTAGCTGAAAAATACGTCAACCCTCCTTATGAGCATTGAAAGCTCAACGCTTTCTGCTACGAAATAAAAAGAGAAATGTGGTAAAACTGCTGGAAAGGAGCTGGGGGTTTCTCAGAGTGCTGCTGTCCCTGCAGATGCCTGATGTGAAGAAGATCTGGTTGTAGGAAGTCCACCCGTCCGACCAGAAGCTCTGCAGCAGAGCAGAATCTGGGTTGGGTGGGTGCAGAATCTCAGCTAGGGGGAAAATCCCAGCACGCCCCTCCTCACGTTTTACATCAGACTGGGAATGAGAATAAATAAAGAAATAATCTTTCAGCACTCCTTTCTGAATGAAACTGCAAACCAGAGATTGCTGGCACGTTGCACAGTGATCACGCCGACCCTTTAGGAGATGAGACATCGAGTAGAACAGATGTGGGATACAAAACGGATGCGTCGACACTGCATGAGAAGCTGTGATTTTAATGTAGGCAGAAACATCAAAAAAAGCCAACTGAAACAGAGAAGTTGGAACAAAATGTTTTTGTCAGAAGAAAACCTGCTGGCATTAGAGAGAACAGCATAATGATCTGTTTCTGTTTCTCCCCTTCAGAAGTGCCTATGGAAATCTGCACGTTTTCGAAAACCAGAAGTGCCTTTTACAATGCAGAGCCAAGCTGTCAGGAAACGTCAGCCCTCATTACTCTGTGCTCCATTTGCAGCAACAGAAGTGACAATAAAAGCTACAAGGTCACAGAGATTGGTCCCGAAGGGCGTTCGTGCACCAGATAACCCACAAGTCGAATGTTTGTTTGCATTAAAAGTCCCCCCCTGCCCTTCTCAGAGCTCAGCTGGTCCACCAGAACCCCTGTGGGCACTGAGCCACGGCCCTTCCTTGGCAGCTGTACAGCTGCATCCCAGCCTCATCCCTCTCTTTCCAAATCCCTGCACCCACTGGCTTGGTCCCATCCATCATTGTCCACCCTGCTGTGCCACCAGCACAGACCAGGGAACTGAATCTGCAGAGGGAACATTGATAATGCGCTGAGAAGAGCAGGGAGATGAGGCTAGCTCTGCCCCTGGGAAGCTGGGTGGCACCAGAGAAAGCATTTCTTGTATTTTTTCCCCTTTTTGCCTCTCAGTAAATGGGGAAAATCTCCATGCATGGGGGAGCTGCGCTCTGATGCTGTGGTCAGGAAAGATGAATGTCAAACAGATGAGCATCGAGTAATAAAAAGCAGACCAAGGGGCAGGGGAGAGAGATAAGAAAGATGGTATTTATTTGAACAGCCACGGGAAATCAAAGATTGAAAAATGTCTAGAAAAAAAAAAGAAATAAATAAATAAAAGCAGCAGCACATTTGGTTTAAAATGAAATAAAATAAAAACAACAACAAAACAGCTTGCGGATGTTGCATGCCTTATCCAGCCCACCCCACCTGACAGCGCTCAGCTCTGCCATGGAAACAAGCATCACTTTTTGGCCTTGTCTCGAGGGTAACCCCCATTGGTCTTATTGAGAGACTCCATGCTGTCGTTGCCCGTCACCACACTGTTGAGTATCCTCTCCACCTCCCCGGGCAGAATTTGCTTCTCTTCATTCTCTGTCTCCCTGTGGTAGAAATAGTTAAAGTTTGAGACGATGACGGGGACGGGCAGAGCGATGGTCAGCACTCCTGCAATAGCGCACAGGGTGCCCACGATCTTCCCACCCAAGGTGGTGGGGCACATGTCTCCATAGCCAACGGTGGTCATCGTGACCACGGCCCACCAGAAGCCGTCGGGGATGCTGGAGAAATGGGACTGCGGCTCGTCCACTTCTGCAAAATAGATGGCGCTGGAGAAGAGGATGACGCCGATGAAGAGGAAGAAGATGAGCAAGCCCAGCTCCCGCATGCTGGCCTTGAGGGTCTGCCCCAGGATCTGCAGCCCCTTGGAGTGCCGGGACAGCTTGAAGATCCGGAAGACCCGCACCAAGCGGATGATCCGCAGGATGGCCAAGGACATGTTCTGCTGCCCGTTGAGTTCGCTCTGCTGGATCAGCTCAGTGGTGAGCGTCACGAAGTAGGGGATGATGGACACGATGTCAATGATGTTCATGATGTTCTTGAAGAACTCGGTCTTGCTCGGGCAAACGATGAATCGGACGAACAGCTCGAAGGAGAACCAGATGATGCAGGCAGTCTCTATGACAAAGAAAGGGTCTGTGAAGGTGCTGTGGGCCAGCAAGGTGTCCGTCGTATTCCTAGAAAGCTCCTGGGTGGACTTATACTCCCTTTCCTCTCTGAACTCTGGCAAGGTCTCCATGCAGAAGATGATGATGGAGATGACAATGACCAGGACAGAGACCAAAGCTACACCTCTGGCCGCGCTGGAGCTTTCGGGGTACTCAAAGAGCAGCCAGAATTGCCTATGAAAGTCATTGGTTGGTAAGAGGGTCTCAGGGTCCTTGATAAACCCTTCATCCTCCCTGAACTGGTCCATGGCTTCGTCACCCAGCTCATAGAAGGTGATTTCATCAGCAAAGACATCTATGGGTACGTTGGCCGGACGCCGGATTTTCCCACCGGATTGGTAATAGTACAAGATCCCATCAAAACTGGGCCTGTTCCTATCGAAGAAATATTCATTCCTCATGGAGTCAAAGTACCGCATCCTCTTCTCTGGGTCACCGAGCAAGGTCTCCGGGAACTGGTTGAGGGTCTTGAGCCGCGTCTCAAACCTCAGCCCAGCGATGTTGATGATGACTCGCTGGTCCCCCTCCTCCATCCCCACCCGCTCCCCCACCAGGTGCTCGCTGAACTCAGCAGAGAACCTGGAGAAAATGGTCTCATTGTTGGCGTTTTCACTGTTGATGAGGATTCTCCAGTTGGAGAGGAGGTTGGCGCAGCTGGGATGGCCTTTCCGCGACTGGCTGGCAGGGCTGAGGTCGTTTGAATAACAGGGATCCTCCACGATCTGATCAGCGTTGTCAAAACTGACTAGTGCCACCTCCATCTCCTTCCAACTGGACACGTCCATCATACACTAATCAGATTAGCAGCATAAATCCCCGGGTCGAATGCCGGCAGCTTGCTTCTTTCCCACGCTATGAGAATCTGCAAGCAAACAGGGAGACAGATGAACTGTGCATGCGGCTCACTTTGCTTGACCGAAGGGAATGAATCAAACCTGAGGTCAGAAAGCCCCGAGTGTCTTAAAACACTCCTTAATTTCATCTGCATTGTAGTTCCAGTGTATTTTATCAGATCCTGTGGGCCCTGTTGGCACAGCTTCGTTGTCATCACTAAACCTCTCAATTTCTACAGCACTCAAGGACAGAAGGTCAAGCAGCAGCACCATGTGGGGAAGGATCCAGGTTTTGCCCATCCATCCCAAGCTTTGTTTGTTACAGCCTTGCTCCAGCTGGGAGTAAAACTGGTCAAACTGGAGGTGCTGGGTGACCTGGCATATGGGAATCAGTTCCCAAAGCAGAGGTCAGGAGAGGTTCTGAGCAGCGCCAACCATGAGGAAGGCAGGATGGGAGGAGAAGGAAGCATCTGTGAGCCTCGGAGAACTCCTCTGTTCTGCATGAGGAGGGGCATGAACTGGGACTCCTCGTATCGATCCAGCACTCGGGGTGGGTGGTGACCCAACTTGAGGTTAACAGAGAGAAATCCTGGGAATATTTACACCCAAAATGCATTCATCCTGGCCCCTCCACCCATTTATTTTCCCCTCCTTCCCCCCTTCAGCTCTCTCCCCTCCAAATGTGTTTTCCAGCCATACAGACGAGAGGTGCTGCTCCATTTTCCACATGCTCACTAATCACCAAGGACACACTGGCTTTCTTACCCAGCAAAGTTCAGCAAGAGGGACTGAAAAGCCCAAATGCCCTCAATTGCCAGGAATAGCAGTGCAATCCAGGCCACGTCCGCATGGGGACCAGTCCTGCACTGGGGCTGTGAGCACACAGTTGTGCCTGAACCACCTCACCAAGCCTGAGCCACTGGGACTCCAAATTGTTCCCCACGCTTCCCTTAGGACTGGACTCATCTGCCCAGGCTGGGACAAGCTGGAAAAACAAATCTGCTGGAGGACATGTTAGCATTCTAGTTAGCTACCAATCCTCCTTATGAGCATTGCAAGCTCAAAAGCAGAACTTCGTACAGGAGCCAGTGGTGTCCAGCTCTCTTTGCTTGAATGAAAAACACAGAGCAGGGCTGCTCGTAGGTATCTCCCTGCAGCTTTGCTTTTGTACCCATTTTCTTACATGGAGACACTGAGAGAGGGGCATTCAGGGCAAGGCAGCTGAAAATAGAGCTAGCAGAAGCAGCAATGTGTTTCAGACCTGGGGCAAAGATGAGCAGCCCCAGAACTGAGTCCTTGAGCCCAGGGATGGAGTTGGCCAGGGTTAAGGTGAACCCAAGGTGCTGCAGCTCTCCACGGGTTCAGCTCACACCCGAGGTTTCAGCAGCTCAAAGCTGCTGTGAGCGAGGCGAGATGCAGCTTTGGGGCAGCCCACATCTCTGTGTCCACACAGCATCCGCAGCCAGGCTGGGAGGAAGGATGCTGAGAGCAACCCAGCCTGAACAAGGCTCATTTGGAGGGAGAAAAAGGCACAGAGAAGACAAATGTGGAGAGCTGATCTCACATTCATGGCACCTCACCCCTGCTGCAGCCCAGGAGGGAACCTGTGCCCTCAGCATCCAAGCAACCTTAGGGCAGCTTTAGCTGATTGTGAAACTGCATCTGAAGTCAATACCGTGAGATGATCTTGGCTTTAGAAAGCATTAAGGGTGTTTAACTCCTAACAGCGTGCAAGAAGACTTCCAAGCCTTTGCTTCTTCAGCCTAAGACTTTGAGGAGGTTGTGATACTTCAGGATCTGTCTCTGCTCTGGAGCCCATGTGCAGATCACACTGTGCCCTGGCACCATCTCTCAGGGCAAAATGAAGGCAAAGAGCAGGAATGGCACTTCTTAGCTCCCTTCCATGCATTTTAGCCCCTTCTGCAGCCATCAGGGACCTGGACAGGCAAAGCAGGGCTGTGACCCTCATCTCAATGCCTTCAGACCCCCAAAGCATGCTGACATCTGCCTGTCCCCACACCCAGAGACCAGTGTCCCACCTGTCCCAGAGCCCAGAACACCTTTTCTGTCTCATTTTAAATTTAGACCAAATTAATGGCACTTCCCAAAGGCACAAAGCAATCTCTCCAAGCAAGAACAGAGCCACATGCTTTGCAACACGCGCTCCAGGCTCCAAAGAGAAAGTCGTCTCGTTTTTTCCTCCTAAATCACCTAACATCTGCTTCTCAGAATCTGATTAACTGATACGCTTCATCCAAAATCCCTGGCTGGGAAGGGGAAAAAAAAAAACACACACACAAAAAAACCCCCACCAAGACAGAGAAACTGCAAAAGGCAAAGGTCATTTGAGAGAGAGCTTGCATTTTCCCCATCAAACCCCAATGGCACGTGAGGAAATGGGGAGCGTTGTGTCCACCATCCCCTCTGCAACCACACACCAACATCCCCATACACACGTCCCCCAGCTCTGCTCCCATCCCCACTCAGACCTCACACACGTGGATAAGTGTCAGCGTTCTCTGAGGTCCCCATAGAGAAGCAGAGGTGCTGAACTGCCTCCCCCCGCCCCCTCCCCATCACCCCTCTGCTCCATGAGACGTGCGGTGATTTCTCCCATAGCCCCCCCTGCAGCATCACCTACAACTTACCCACGCAGGGCATGGAGGTGCCAGCGCTCTCTGCATCTGGAAGGAGAGTCGTTAAACACACATAGGGAGTGTAGAGGGAAAAAAAAAAAGAAAGAAAGAAAAAGGAAAAAAAAAAAACAAAAAAAACCCAAACACCAGCCATACCCTTGAAAGGTCCCGTTGGGATAAAGCAGGCAATGTCATTTAGAAGTCTCTCCTCTATTTGGTTCACTGTATAATTGGCAGCCCAGCACGCCAGGGATGGGCTTTGGCAGCATCCGATGTGGTTTGGAGCCTCGGCCCCACCGTTGCCTCGGGGAAAGGCACCTGCTCTGCCCTACAAAGCGCCGGGGGTCCATCGGGAAGGGGGAGCAGGGGGCACCCAGGCCCCCCACCTCCTTCCCCCAGCCGCTCGCCGGGGGAGGGACGGTCCCTTCTGCCGGATGCCACCTTTAATCCCCAATAATGCTCCGGATGGTGCAGCGGGGACAGGTCTGGTCGGTGACGTGGTGAGGTCTGAGCCGGTGCCCAGGAGGGAGGCAGAGAGGGGGACGGTGACCGAGCACCGCTGGCATCAGGACAGACATTTAGAGCAGGCGGTCAGGCTTGTTTAGCATTAATATACACCAACAGCATTAAAAAGAAGAGAGGGGGAAAGCCCGAGGGCTGGAGCATCCCCTTGTGCCCACCTACCTCTTGCCTGCAGCCATGGATGCAGTGGGCTCCTTTACAGGAGGCTGCAGTGCCACCGCCACGTGGGACACCCCGACCCCCCCGATGTGACAAGGAGCCAGCACAGCCCCACAAGGCACTGACAGGGACAACGCAGGGAGGGGACAAGCAGAGCCATCAGATTGCCACCCCGAGCAGTGAGAAAGGAACGACCCCGTGGGATGTCACCGTGAGTCACAGAAAGGAACTGAGATTTTTCTTCTCTTCTCCTGACCCCACCTCATCCTTGCTGGGTGACTCTGTGCAGGGCCACCTTCACACCAGTGAGCCCACATCTTCTTCTGCCCCACACCTCTGTGTTTGGACACATTCCTGCCCATGTGCCACAGCCTCAGCTCCTGTACAGCACTGCTCCCTTGTTCCCGTGGGACCCAATCACCTCCACCTCCCCCAGCTCTCTGGTCTGTCCTCAAAACCATTTTCCACCTGCGATGTTAACAAGCACATTAAAACACAGCATCCCATAGAAGAGCTCAGCACCCAGGGGTTGGGGCATCTTCAGCTGAAGTCTGGGCATCTACAGCCAGCAATGGAAACAGGCCATAGCATCTCACAGACTTCAGGGTTGGTTTGTCATGCTCCACATCCCCTTCTGCACCCCTGGAATCCCTCCACACTGGGGATCCATCAGCAGAAAGGAGTTTAACCAATCTGTGCTCAGTTGAGGGGACTTGGGATGTGTCAGCATTTCCCCACCCCCAGCCAGGTGCCCCCATCCTCCTCCCACGCCTCCGGCCCACTAATCCCACCAGCAGCAGCTCCTGGCATCTGCTGGGATTTATCCTTTAGGACAGTGTTGCTCCTGAGGGCGTCCTGCAGCCAGGGCAGGCGTCCAGAGAGCGTGGCTGCAGAGCTCTGCACACGCAGCTCTGCTGCAGGAGGGCAGGACAGACCTGCAGGGGGACTTTGCTGGACTGTTCCCAGCTTTTGAACAAAGTGATGCTTGCACAGACCTCTGCAAGCTGCTGTGCTCCGCTCTGCACCAGCCAGACTCAAGCTCCAGCTCACAGATCAAATTAGTGCAGTAATTAGCCCCTGCTAGTTTTCCTCATTTTTAGCGGAGCTAATTAGCTGGGGTGCAGCACTAATTGCAGCTCCTGAGTTGGGCTGGGCTGACTCTGTGGCATCTTCAGGACATATCAGGGTGACTTTTCCATATGCCTCAGCACTGTGTGATGTGCTCCTAAGTCAGAAGTGCCCCCAAGCCAGCACCAGGGCAAAATGTGGGGAAGGGAAGAACATGGGAGGCTTGGAATTGAGAACATGGAATTCACAGACAGGACAGCACAACACAAACCTTCACTCCTTGATGTTCTGACTCCAGCACTGAGGCTAATGAACCAACGATAATTAAAGGAGCTACAGAACACCCTGGCACCAGTGAACCTAAAGTCCCACCTGTGACACTCACGTGCACAGAGAAACCTTTGCTTTTAAAAGGAGAGGTTAAGATGAGCCCTGACATTTAAACCCTTTAATTAATTGCACCATCAAAGAAATGCTTGGGCTGAACTGGCAGCCACCAAATTCTGAGCCCCAGCCTCCTCTGTGCCTCAGTTTCCCCACCCACAACAGCACCACATGCTGCATAGCAGCCCCACATTGAAGCATGTGCAGGAAGAAGCTTGCAGGCTGGATTCCTGGTGCAGGATGCAAGCGTCCCTCACTGCCAGCATGCCCAGCCAGCCTCCCTCTGTACATCCCCCCCCTTCTGATTTTTCCATATATATATATAGGATATATATATGGAATATATATATAAACCAGATTACCAGAGGGCCCAGAACGTACAGTCCACACCATGAGACAGATGAAACCTTTCTGATACCCAGCCCAAATTAATCAGCTACGGATTAACCGGGTCAGGAAGCAATTTAATAACGAGCGGGGCTGAGCACAGCCATCCCTGCACGGAGGGAACCAAGTGCTCCCCATCACAGGTGCTCATTCAAAGCTGCTGCAAAGCCAGCCCGACAGCAGGAAAAGACAGATGGGGCAAAAATGAGCTCTGCAGCGAGGCAGGCTGCAATCACCTGGGTCTGATCCAAGCCCTCCCCACCTTCCCCACACCCAGCATGGGAGTTTTTAGCCTGATTCATAAGAATAGGAAAGGGTTTAAGGGGCGTTCAGCAGGAGGCACGCCTCGGCGCCTCGCGGCGCTGCTGAATGGGCTGATGGAGGTAACGCGATCGAGGAGAGTCGATGGCGAATCGATGGGAAAGTTTCCCCCATCTGCCCCAAAGTGCTGCTGGTTTGGCCAAGCCTGAGGTGCAGCACTGCGACCTCCTCCTGTTCCTAGGGATGGAGCAGCGTCCTGAGCCCACTGCCATCAGCACTAACCCTCCTGGGAGGCTGCGGCCGAAGCCAAAAGTGGATGGATGGTATAAATGGAAAGCAATAGGAAGCCACTAAGTGGGTCACGCTGATACCTGCATCGATCCCGAGCTTTGCAGCAGTGGCAGCAGGAGGAGGAGGGGCAGGGGTTGGGGTCGTTTGGGTTGGCAGCACCGCGTGCTTTGCCAGAGAGCAGTGCAGCTGACCCAGGGCGGTCATCCCAGCCCTGCAGTCCCATCCAGGGAAGGACATCGTAATTCGGATGCAGCAAGAACAGAATTAAGGTTTAAATGGACTGAGATTGTCAATGGGACCCTGTGGCTCCTGACGCTCCCAGCACACCCTCAGCATCCCAGAGCAATCCTCTGATTCTCCAGCTTTTCTCCAAGGACAAACTCAACTTAGTCACCATCACCCCAAAACCACCCAAAAGGAGAACAGCGAACCCCCCAAACCCACCTAATAACCCCTCCTCCTCCCTCCCTCCCCACCCCAGCCTTTTAACCCACTGCAAAGAGGAAGGGAGCAACAAACCCAGCTTCTGCATCATCTTCATCCTGCCCCAGGCTCCTGGTCCTACTGCCTCCTCTGCCTCTCCCAGCTCCTGGCTGTGGGATGCTCATACCCGTCCTGCACTGGGCAGAAAGGCGATGCCAGTGCCCACGTGAGCCCGGTGGGACTCCTTGCCCTCATTCTCCTTGTGCCTGAAATGGGATTTTGCTCCCTTGCTGGGTTCTGCTTACTCCCAGCCTGCCATCTCTGTGGCTGCCAATGCGTGCTTTTGCTTTCTGAGCAAGGGTGAGGAAGGAGCAGCACTAAGAAGAACATGGGGGGAAGCCCAAATGTGCCCCTTTCTTCCCCCCTCCTCCCCCCTTCCCCCCCCAATGCTGCTCAGGGGGCTGTTTTGCCAAATGCAGTTGGGGCAGTGCTGCTTTGACATAGGCTGCATCCATTTACCCCTGCTTGGACCCTCCCATGCTCCCACCACCAGCACAGCTCTGGTTTGGCATCCCTCAGCCATGGTTCCCATTGAGTAGGCACTTCCTCATACATGGGAGAGTCCTGACTCTGCTCCAGTGCATGAAAAACCCCTCCATTACTGGGAACCCACATTTGCTTTTGGCTCCTAATCTGCTGAAGCTCTGCATCCCTTTGTGCTTTTCAGTTGGATTTCTTGCCGTTTGTTTTACCCACTCTCCCATGGATCAGGCAGTGGGGTCACCTTGCCAGTATCTGGACATGGACAAAAACAGCCCCATCCCAGTGCAGAACAGAGGCTGTAGGATGTGGCTCCTGGGTCCATCCCAAGGACAGTGAGCATCCCCTATTGCCTTCCATGCAGGCTTCCGAGCTGCTGCTGCCCCAAACCCCTGCCTGCAGACACAACCACTATTTGTGGCTTTTGGAAAACCAGCCCTGGGAAAATCTCCCTTCAGTTTGTAGGGAAAAGGGGATGTCAGAGTGATAAGCAGCCTTTGGGATCCTGTGCCAAATCAGAGCTGGCTTTTGCCTAGGAGCAATTTCTCAATCTCCTTCCCATGACCTTTGGAAAAGCAAACAGCCAAACCCAGCACTGTTCCCTGATGTGGCCACCAAGTCCTGGGAGCCCATCACAGTGAGGGCTGAACTCCATCTCCCACGTGGAGTGGGAATCACCCACTGGACACAGACTGCAGCAGTTCACTTTGATTTTTGGCAATCTGACATGGGAAGGAGATCAGATCTTAGGGAGATTTTTGTTGAGAAAGCCGAGAAGAAAAACAGACACAAAGTGTAGGAAAGCCCCCACATCTGACGTGTCAGGAGATGCCCAAAGAAAAATACATCCCTGCAAGCTGGGGTGATGCTCCATCCCACCAACCTGAGACCACATCCACCAGAATCAGAAGCTCTATCGACTCAAAATTACACAAATCCTTCCCAAATTCTCTGCATCACTGGGTAAACGCTGCACAACCCCACGTGGCTCACTGGAATCCTCATGCTTGGTCACTCAGAGTCTTCTAAAGCATCCCTTTATTTCTAGGCAAGATCAAGCCAAGATAAAAACATCCCATTCTCTCGCTCTCCTTACTGCAGAGTGAATCTGATGAAATCTGCTCCGCATTTAATCCATCCTGCCCCTTTTTCAGGTTAAACCAACTGCCTGGCAGCAATAGAGCTCAGCCTGCCAGAAATACCAGTGAATTATTTTGCCCCACTCCTTACGGTTCAGCGCGAGCAAACTGCATGCAACGAATATTTCCTCATGCCTTCAGTGCTTCTTTCTGCAATAAAGCAGATTGCAACAGCCGATCATTTTCTAATGGAAGACTTGCAAAGCATTCAAAGCCATTAAAAAGATCACAGCCAAGAGTAACTACTTTATTTAAGTCCTGGAAAAGGAGCAAAGGCTGTAAATGCAGAAAGCACAGAGCGTATCTGCTTGGGCTCAGGCAGGAACCCAAGAGCATCCAGAACTCCTGTATCAGCACAGCTGGTGAACAGCCATGAGCCAAGCACCGTTTTAACAGGAGATAAACGGGAACCTTGTCAACCAGGTGGTTCCTCCCCATCCTACTGGGGATGAAATGACATTAAGAGTGGCTTAATAGAAGCGGGAACATCCCACAGGTGTTGGGCTCTGTTGTATTTTCACGGCATCGTTAACACCACACAAAATTTTACCGGTGGAATAAAGGTAATTAACAGCACTCACTCACCTGCAGCCAGGATCAGGCAGCCGAAATGACAGCTCTTCTTCCAGCAGTAGGAGATCCTTTGGGTGGGTACGGATGTGTTGGTGTCTGCACGGCTCTGACAAGCAGGTAAGGATTAGAAAGAGTTTGTCTCAGGAAAGACTCAGATTCAGAAATCCTATACCCTCGTGAAACCCTATCTTGCCTTGCTGTCCTTGGTTTTAAAGGAAACATAGGGAAGAAACACGGCGCTGCAAGCAGAGCTGTGCTGACTGCACTGACGCAACTCCGGGGTGCAAAGAAACCAAAACTCTTCTGCAACCAACCCTGAGAGGGGAGCAGCCCTGAAAGGAGAGCACCCACGAGCTCAGCACCCAAAGGACAGCTTCAGAATGCGAGAGCAGAGCTGCCCCCACCACGGCTCCATGGACATCAAACACACAGCATAAGGGAATCCCCTCACCTTTTCCCAAGGGATGCCAGGTGAATATACTGAGGACCAGTCGACTCGTGGCACTTCCACATCTGGGGGCCTTTCAGAGGGGTTCCCAGGAGGTGTTGAACATTTCTCACTGCAAGAAAACACAGAAATCAGTCACACACTGAGCTCTGAGTGGCAGCATCCAGCAGCAGTGGGGAGGAGGTGAGGCAACCCAGGGTCACAGAAGGGTGTCCCCATTAGGAAGAGCCCACCTTGTTCCCTGAACCACCAAGGAAGACCAAGGAAATAGGAGCTGCTCAGATGGAGTCCCTCCAACACTGCTGCATGGTGTCTTGGTCACTACCATTGAAATATGCCTCCAAGTGCTTCTGACTCCCTAGAATACATGGGGTGGGTTGTGCCTCTCTCTTGTACAACATGCGGAGAGGAGGATGGCAGGAAGGCACACATTGGATTCCCAGCAGGATAACCATGACTTTGCTGAGATGAATTGGGTCTTCTCCACCTCCCCTTGCTGCATTCAGCTGATGTGCTTCCTGTTATCAAACATCACCCCCAGTCCTGCAGTAACCACGACTGGCAAGAGGTGGAAGCTCCATTGCTCACCCAAGTCATCAGCTTGGCCATTCCTCTTTCACCAGGCAGACCCAAAGCATTTAGGCACCATCCAAAGCAAAGCATGCCTGGTGCCCCTAGGAGGCATTCCCACCTCACAGGTACTTCCCAGAGGTTATAATTACAGCGCAGTAATGGGGGGAATCACATTAATTACTTGCTCAGCTGAATGGTGATAACGAAGGCACGGTGCCGGGCGAGGGACATATCAAGAATCATGTTAGCATGGCAAGTGGCACAGGAACACCCAGAAAGGGTGATGCTCTGCAGAAAGGCCTGAAGTTGTTACAAGAACGTTGGGAGACTTGATACAAAAGGCCAGCTTATTAATAGCTAATAGGCAAATAAATTATGTACCCACTCAGGTGGATTGTGTTTCTCCCTCCTTCCTGCACTCTGCTGTCTCCATCACCACCTTGGTTTCTGTCCCACATGGTTCTTTCTTCTTTATTTTCACGCTTTGTGTGACACAAGGACTGACTCGTATTTGCTCAAAACTTCAAAGCTCAGACCAGCTTCTCCCAAGGTTTTGGTCGCCCGCACCTTTCCAAACCACAATGGGTATCACCAACCCTGCTGACATCCCCTGTATCAGACATCCCCAACACCCCAGGGCTGCTCCTGCTCGTGGGGACCCACTGAGTCCCTGGAAACACCAAGCCTGAAAGAAGAGCTCTGGGCAGCAAAACAAAAGCTTTCTTTGGACCTGTTTTCAGAACGCAGCCCAGCCTGCTTGCCATCTGCCCAGCACCAGCAGGAGCAGCCTGAGTCCATCCGTGCCTGCAGCCAAGTGCCAACAGCTCTGCACCCTGCACGCTCCAATGGGCCTCTGGCAGGCAGTAAGGTGAGGGCAAGGCTAGGCAACGGTGCAGGGGAAGAAAAGGGGCACACACCTTTGTCACAGATCCTAGCATCCCCAGAACCCCAAGCAGGATGTTGGAAAGCTTAGCCAAAAGTAGTTAAAGCAGGTTTGCTTTGTGTTGCCTGCTGTCCCCTTCCGGTTTGTGTGCAGCGTGCTGCTGCCTGTCTGATGGTGCAATTACTATCATTCCTCCTCCCTTCTTGAGCTGGGAACATAAAATCATAGAATCACAGATCATCCCCAGTTGGAATGGACCCAAACAGATCACTGAGTTCAACCCCCAGCTCCACACAGCACCACCCAGCCCCAAACCCTATGGCTCAGAGTGATGTCAAAACACTCCTTGAGCTCTGGGAGTTCATTGCTGTGCCCTCTGCCCTCAGGCAAGATGGATGCTCCTATAGAAGAACCTTTCACTAGAGGATCGAGCTCCCACCAACACATCACTGTGCATTGCAGCCTTCCTGGTGGCAACACAAAGCCACGTTCCTTGGGTAAGGCAAGGAACTGGGCCATATCCATAGCAAATTCCATCCCCAGTCTGGGGTGAGGAGCATTCAGAGCAGAGCTGGGAGCAGAGCGCAGTCCCTGTCCCAGCTCCTCACCCCCAGGACGGCACCACCCAGCACTGAGCCCAATGCTGTCCCTTCTCTAATATTTCCTGATCGCTTTCTCTGCCCGCTCTGATCTCAGAGGCCACGCTATGCTATCCCTCTGCCTGGGCAGCATTTGGCAATCTGATCACCGCCTCCTCCTCACTAATCACCCCAGATCCTGCTCTGACCCCGATGATGTTCCACCCTCTGGTTCTTCATTGCCCAATTTGACACTGCTCCATCCGCAGCCAAGCTCCTGTTCGCCGCCTGTTACCTTCTCCTTGTGTTTGCATAACCCCAACTCACGTCACAGCAGCTCCCAGCCACCAAAATCCAGCTATTCTGTATCAGTAATGGGAAACTCTCAGCACTGCCTCTGACCTGAGCACACATCTCTTCCTCCCTGGGGAGAGAGCATCTTCTCACTGCTACCCACAAAGGAGGAGGACATGGCAGCATCCATCTCCAGCCCTCAGCAAACCCCCACGTCTCCCTTCCCCATGGAGGCACCATTGCTGGACTGTTTTGTGCTGAACAAAGGCCAAGGAATCAGCAGCAAAGGGAGAAGTTTCACTTACTTTGTTTCTACTGCTGGACCAGAGCAGGGATGTTGATGTGATCGTCTCATCCATGGGAAATTTTAGAACCTCATAAGCAAAGGAGAAGGAAGTAGTTTCTTTTCAGAAAATCAGGAGACCCAGCTGGAAAAATCAAAGGCAATGGTGGTGAAAAGGGAGGTGGTAAAGCAATCGGTGGCCCTGCAAACAGAGGAGAGATGGAGGAGCATGGGGAAAAGTCTGGACTGAAGTTGCATTGTGTAGCCTCAAAACACCATCCAAGCAAAACTTATAAATGGGGAAACTGAGCCACAGAGCTGCAAAATCAGCACTTTGCAGAGAGCAAGAGAGTTGCAGGCCTGCTCCCTCCACCCCTCTGCCAACAAACAGACAGCAAACTGGAGGAGCAGTTCCCCACTGGGGTCACTGCTGCTACCATCAGTCAGCTCCCAGAAGCAGAAAAGGCAACAAATACATCCTACCACCTCCCAGTGCTGGAGAAGTGACATAAAAATATGTATTCATATCTGTATCTGTTTTGCAAGGGGAAAAGCAAGGAACTTCAGCAAAGCCCACCTTCAGACCCCAAAAGCCAAAGCAGCACAGGGGCTTGGGCATCGATGGGTCATTCATTGGAGATCTATACCTGCCTGGCTTGCCCTCTTCAGTTTGGATAGTTACCGGCTTTGCACTGTTGTTAGGGAAGGAATCACGCAGTGCTGAGGGCTGCTGGCACTTTGCATGGCTTTATCCCCCCCTTAAAGGGGAATTCGCGCCCCTGCTGGAGGAGCTTTAGCAAAAAGCAAAGAGAAACGGATCAATCTCTCTTACATCCAGAATGAAATCCAACAGTGCCCCTCTCTGGGGGATGGAAATACAGCAGCTTAGCCCAAAACGGTTCATTTTCACAGCGTTGCTTCTCTAAGGGAAAAGAGAACACATTTTCTCTACCTGCACATAAATAGAGAGATGAAAGGAAATGCAAACGCATGCATCTCCTATAGGTGAAAGCACAGAGGGACAGGTATTGAAGCTGTTTGCTATAGCTCACCATACAGCCTGAGAACTCCCTTATGTGCCAGGCTTGTTTCTTGCTTGTGAATGAGATGCTAAGGATGTGGGCTAAATGCAGAGCTCAGAACACAGCAGGCCATGCCATACACCTGGATCCTTGCCGTGGGGAGGAAGAGAAGGGTGGAAATACAGGAAAGGAGCCCTCCTCTACCAAACCTGTTGGCTTCAAACCACCCAGGGAATCAGACATCAGCTCTCATGAGAGCTGTTTCGTGTTCTGGACACCAAATCTGTATACATTCTACTGAAAATCATTCATCCTAATGGAGGGCAGCCAGGTGGTACCATACCTGTGGTGCTGCTGACACTGGAAAGCCCCATTCCCCCTCTCCCAGCCCATCCCTCTCACCTGATGCAGAAGCACTCACAGAACTGCTGCCTTCAGAATGGAACAGGCTCAGCAGAGGGCTCCCACAGCCCAAAACCTGCTTACAAGACATCCACAAGAGATCCTCACCATAGGAGATGGACAGATGACCTGTCACACCATGCACCATCAGCTTCCTCCAGTGCCTCATGCAGCCAAGAAGTGATGGGAGAAGACCCATCAGGCAAAGCAACAGCATCTTTGCTCTCATTCATCTGATTCTTTGCCTCTTATCCTCTAAACTCGAATTTAAAAAGCAGCAGTGAATCAGCAGCAAGGATAAACCTCAGACCAGGGGTGCTTCTGGAAGTTGAGAGGTGCAAGCGCCTTCTGCAAAACTCACTTTCCCTAGGGCTTAAAAGAAACTGCTACAAAACAAGTCTGCAAAACTGGCTGCTGGGAAGCAGAACAAGCCCCAAACCCCCACCTCCAACCCAGATAATTCAGCCCCTCTCTGCTGCCCTCACCACGGAGCATCTGGAGCCGTAACCACCAGCCCCAGAGCTGGCCCCAAGCTGCTTTCCTTCTTCCCAAGTCTCTTTTCAAACCTCAGGCAGGTGGAGCTGCTCACCAGATTATTGGCCTCATTTCTCGTGTGCCTGAATAACCCACAGCCTTCAAACCACGTGAAGCCCCTGTTTTCCTGCTGACTGGGAGCAGATGCACTGGCTAGGCTGAAAATCTGGGTGAAAATCTAGGAAATGGGCAGGGGATGGGGAGGAAAAAGTGTTAATGTGGAGCACCTGTGGTGCTGGGTGTTCTGTTAGAGCCCAGCTCTGATGCTGGTTGCAGCATCTTCCCTCCCCTTCCCCTGCTAAGGGTGAAAGTGAGCACTGATGGTAGCAGAGCATCACTGCCTTGTTCCCATCCCTGTGTTCTTCTATGGGCAGCCAAGGTTGGCAATGGAACCCGGGGCAGCTGAGCCCCATCAAGCTGCAAGATGTGCTTCCCCTGTACACATCCCAGCTGGCAGTTGGCACCTGGCACACTGAGAGCCTGAGGAGGGGCTGATTTGGGGTTCCAGAGCCTGGTCTGGGGGTGTTGGAGCCCATTGAAATCCCACGTTGGTTTGCAGCTGCCTCCAGTTTGGACACACGGGCAGGGATGGGCCTCAGTGCAGTGAGAAAGGCAAAATAACAACTGCTGTTCTGGGCCCAGCAATGACTAATTCTCCTCAGGGAGCAAGGAGATAATTATGGGTCTTTCCCAAGGAAAGGATAGCCCTTAATTACGAGGCTGGGTAAGCCCTCAGTGTAACCTGAATTTCTCTCCTGCTCCCATCATCTCCTCATATCCCCAGCTGTTAAATAGGAACGGTCTCTCATTCACACCCCACGATCCTGCCCTCGCTGGGATAACTCTGTGAGATTCATTACGTAAAATCACTTGAGCACTTTCCTGATTATGGCTGAATAACAGCATAGAGGATCCCTGGTGCTGGTATGTGGCCACTCATCCACAAGCAAGGAAGCACAGCCTTTCTCACCTGCAAAACCCTGAAGCTTCCTCTGTTTGCAGACTGATAACACAGAGCATCAGGCTGGGTGTGCAACTGCTGCTGCTCCAACACGGGGCACCCAAGTGTTCACTGCTCATTTCCCCCTGGGGAAAATGCAAGGAAACACCCTCCCAGGAAAGGCTGAAAGCAACTGATGGTGATGCAGAGCAAGGCTGGTCCCTAGAACACTGCAGAGTGGCTGTGGCAGGCTTGGGGAAACTGAGGCACAGAGGCACTGCTGCTGAGCCCAGTGCCAAAAGGATGGGAACGCAGCAGATAGGAGGAATCCCACACTCTGCATCTCCTTGGCTGCCTGTTCCCCTCGTGCTGCTCTGCCAAAGGACCTGGGGAGATGGAAGCTGTGGAACCCAAGTTTAATTTTGCTCTCACTGGGGATGCAGAAGGCAGCAGAGCCACAAATCAAATGGCCCAGAGGCAGCTGTGGAGCACTGCACGCCTCCCACTGCGAGCAGATAAAATGCAACAGCCTGGAAAGCCAGAGAGGGCTGCATCCTCCTGCAGTGCAAATCAGCATTGCCAAGAGCCAGGGATGTCCTGCCCTTTGCAAGCTGCTGCAGCCTGCATGGCTCACTGGCCAAGCATGCTCCTGCCTTGCTTGGTTATCAGCTTTGCAAATTATGATGTTTTGCAAATACAACTCCTTTTAGAGCAGACAAGGAGATTGGCATCGTCTGCCCCATTGCCATCTGTAGCCCTGCGTGGGTTATTCCCTTCTGGGTGGCATCCAGATCAAGTAGCTCTGGGTGTTGGGGGAAATCCTGCCAGGGACAGGCGGGCCAAAGGGGATTTTCCAACTGCATTTCACAATTGAGATTTTTCAGCTCTCTTATTTTTGCCTCAAATTAATCCTTTGTGCCCTGGGGAAAAGTGTCTTGCAGGAGGTTGAGTTTTGCTTTCTGTGAGTATCTTTGGGGCTGCACCACCCCAATAAATTACTCACGACAAACAACAAGAATACGGAGGGATTCTCAGTGTGTCCCCCATTTGCTGGAAACCATGGATGTGTGGAAAAACACTGCCTTGCAAGCCATGCAGGCTGGGCTACACGATGGCCCAGTGCCAGGCATGCCCAAAGCAGTGGCAGCTCAGGTGAATCCCAAAGCAGTGACAGCTCAGGGGGATGCAGAGCCTCCTAAATGTTCCTCCTTCCCCTAGGAAGAGGCTCAGTGCTGAGCCTGGAGCTGTGCCTTACACCATACTTGGAGTCCTGCAGCACCAGTGCACCTGGAAAACTCCAACATGCCCACAGCAGCACCCAAATCCAGGGGCATTTCCTGCTGGCCAGCTGTGCCAAGCAAGACCTGTAAGGGGAAAGAAGCATCTTGCACCAACGCCGGCTCCCTCTCACCATGCCCCACGCATGGGCTCAACCCCAAGACCCCCTTTTCCCTCCCCACATCCTCCAGCACTTTGCTCAGCACATCCTCTTCCAACCGGAGGAATCCTCTCTGCAAAACCCGAAATGCGCGGCCAAGATAAAAGCGAGGCTGTGAATAATTCATGCCTCAATCTTTTTTACCACCGTCTGCTGTAAATATTTAAAGAGCACCAAGATGTCTAGAGCTGAACTTCGGGAGGGTGAAGGGGAGCCTGCAGAGCGCTGCTGCGTGCTTTGCCAGGAGGAGGTGGGAAGGGGACAGAGGGGACGTTTCCTTGGCTTGGTGTGCAGCAGGGACAAGGGAGCCCCAGGGGGAAAAAAATGGATTTACATCAGACAGCAAATATCCAAGCCTTTCTGTGCAACCACAAAAGGGCAGTTTGGAAAAGATGATAGGAAATAGGGGATTTTGGGGGATAAATGCTCAGCTTTCAGCGCTTTCCCCCCTTCTTCTCCCCTGCTGCCCCCTGGCTCAAAACCTCCGAATTTTACATGAATTTATAATGGCCACAAAATCAACAAGCAAATCTCCTCTTGCAGCTTGCAGCTCCCTGCACTCCACCTGGAAAACAAGAAAACAACCTCTGGCACTGAAATAACACACAGCCCTGTGCCATCTGCAGGCTTCCCATGCAGCACTCAGCCTGGAAGTGAAGCAAAGCCTTCGGGGGGTATTTAGGGTGAGGGTCCACATGTCCACCTGGGAGCACTGCACGAAGTGGGGATGCTCTCAACAACCCAAACCCCACTCAGTTTACTTCATGTGCAGGGCAGTGGTTCCCTGGGAAGCCTCCATGTGCCCAAACACTTCTTCTTGCTTTGGTAATTTGCAGCTTTGCAAGGGTGGTTTTAAATGTCCTGGGTACCCTTCGTTCTTGCACGTCTCCCTGCACGTATGAGGATGTGCACTGCAAAGCTCTGATCTGGCCACAGATCCCCATCATCCTTCTTCTAAGACAACTTCAGGGCTGGAAACAGCTCTCCTCTCTTTGGGTGCAATTTGGGGGTTGTTTTAGAATCAGAGTTTGGGACAGCAGAAAAAAATGCAATTTGGAGGTTGGAACAAGTGTTGCTCTGAGCCGAGTGGTTCCCTTCATTGAAGCCTTTTACGAGATTTATCCTGACCAATTTAACATCTGGACACTTTTTTTTTTTTTCCCTAGAAAAAGTGACATTTTGTTTTACAAATTCCCAATGGGATGCTTAGAAAACTTCACGTCTTTTTCCTCATCCCCATTCCCAAGCCAAGATATTAATCAAAACGTTGTGTTTTCCACAACAACAAAAGCAGAAAAGGAAAAAAAGAAGAGGCATTCAGTAAATGAGTCATTGTTTTTCAGTGAGAGAAAAAAAAAAGCAAAGCCATTTCCCCAGGCTCCACGCTCAGGAATGGCTCTGATCTCTGCACCATCCTCTGTGGCCACAGCAGCTGCCTGGTCCTGGCCTGATGCTGGGGCTGTCTGGGTGTAGGAGCACACGGATGTTATCTGGGTATGGTTTCCTCTTTCCTCTGAGGTTGGGATTCAGATCTGCAGCTTCTTGGCATCGCTGGCTTCATGTGTTTGGTTTATTCCAGCCATACCCACTGATTCTGGAGCCTGCGGAGGGCAAGGAGAACATGCAGATGAACTGACTGCCAGCCTTCAGGTCAGCTCTTGGTCACTTCCCCCTCCTCTGGAACTCAAGTGAGAGGTAGGTGTCCCAAAACCTCAGGGCTGATGGGGGACACCACCAGGCTTGGGATAAGGGCATGAGATGGAGCAGGATGGGGCCCACAGGGTGCTGAGTGCTGCCAATGGGATCGTCCCAGGTGGCTTCAGAAAAAAGAGAAAAGGGGGCAAAAAGAAGGGCAGGATCCGGCCCTGATCAATTCGCTGCAGAAGGCCGCGGGAAGGCTGGCAGGTTCTCTCTGTACTGAGTGGTTTATAGATTTTCTCTAAATAGGAATCTGCAGCTGCACGGCAGCAAGGAGGGTGCAAACGTGGCCTGGGGGGGATGGGGGCAGCGGTGGGGGCTGCAGGCTGGGAGCTCTCCCTGCTTGTGAGCAGGTAGGGATTGATGGGAGCACACCCCCAGCATCCCCCCTTACCACCTGCAATAGAATCCGATGGTGAATGGCCACAAAGCAGGGATCCACTGCAGGGTGATCCCCAGTGGGTCATCCGCCCCACCACTGCCTCCTCTTCATCCCTCCCCAGGGATCTGCGTACACCATAAGAGACCCCATGGGGAAGCGAGGAAACAAGATAAAACCCAGCCCTCTACCCAAGCTAGGAGGGGCAAAAGTTGAAGAGGAGGTTTTTCTGATGCTTAAACACTCGTCTTCATCCCATGGGGAGCTGCACGCTGGTCCTATCTTGAAGGCATGGGCAAGGATTCCATTTAAGCCAATAAATGGTTGAGGGTGAGAGGCCTGGAGTCGGAGGGAAGTGACTAATCAATCTGCTCATCATTTATTTATACACATGGCAGTTGCAAGCGTGAGCTGAAGCGCTGAAGGCAGCAGGCAGCTGCAGGCTTTGCAGGAAGGCTTTGGAGGAAAGATGGGCAACCGAGGCAACAGCTTTCAGAAGAAAGTCTTATTTGGAAGGTC